CTGCATCATTGGCTGGCCCTAACAATGGTTTAAGTTGAGGTGTTTCAGAAGGGTTAACTAAATTTTCTGTCCCTACAAGTGATTTTGTAGCTGTTACAGACCTTGCTGGTATATCTTTGGAAATCTTGAATCCCTTCTCCCGAAAGGAAATTTGAGGAGGCTTCTCCGGCCCTAACAAATACCCAAACTTGCCGTTGATAACCTGAGGTGCTTTAAAATATTTATTATTTCTATTAAAAATTTTGCGTAATACTGTGGTTTTGATTAATGGGCTGGCTACCGTTGTTACTGCACCAAACAACACCGCCATCTCTACATCCGCTTCTGCTCCACTTAATGCCTGCTGCCGTTCTTCTTCAGAATCTCCGTTGCTAGCAACATGTATTTCGAGTCCGAGGATAGCACCAAACATCAAGGTATTTACTACAGCTCCTATTGGCCCAAATAGCATCAGAGGGACACCTAAAACCGTTCCCGCAATTTGAAAGGCAACCAAAACGCGCTGCTCGCATAATTCACTATCAGACATTATTAACGTATCGGCATCCTGAAACCTGCGCTCTTTTGTTTGTAATGCGAGCGCCTCAAACACATCAGTGTTTTTTATTCTGAAACTGTCATAGTAATCAATACCGCCGCCATCCACTTCCCAATCGCCCTCGGCTAGCTTCTGTAGAGCATTGTCCACTCCGGTGTAAGAATTTCCGTCCTGACGGTCATAGGCAGAAAAATGAGATGTCAGAAAGAATCGTTTTCTTATATCTACTGCTTGCTCCACAATCCACTGCCGCATCGAATGGTCATTTTGGAATACATAAAAACTTAGCGGGCTACCAGGTATGTAGAGTACTTCTCGCTTATTTTCTAGCACAAACCGAAGAATATCAGTGGCTGCATAACCGTTTATATCTAAGCGGCGCACATCAATAGAAGGTGGCGACTTTCGCTGGAAATGAGCTAATGTAACGGTTTCGTTTAAAGGGACGCCTGGGTCCAGACCCCTCAGTATGTATGTATAATCATCTGTGCTTAACACACCTTTTTCCTTGGCCTCCAGCGCCGCACGGAAAAATTCTGCTTTTGACAAAGTTCGCCAGTTTTCCTGGTGTCTGTCCCAAAACTCGTGGAGCCGAGCATTAATAAGAGAAGAAAAATCAAGTTTCCAAACTATGTCGCGCAATTGGGACGGCTTAATCTTAACCTCATTTTCACCACCGTAATAATCACCACAGCCAGCGCCTTGCCAGTAAACCCCGTATTCTTCATCTAGCTTGTTTGCTTCTCGAAATACATCTTCATTATTAAAGTTGCAAAACGCAAGATCTGTTAAGGTCACCGACCATTGTGGCTGGACGTCGCGCGTCCATTTTAAGAAAGCCTGTGGCGAATATTTTTTAGGGGCTTCCCCCCCGAAATAGTTCAGATACACGTTATCAGGATTGAGATCTAGCCCTGTTTGTTCTTTAATTTTGGTGCGCATAACCTGATGCGCTATTTTGGTAAAATTTGGTATAGAGGAGGTAACATTATTGCGTAGTTGCAAGTAAACCGCGTAATTAACACACTGAAGACCTTTTATTATAGCTAACTGGGTATCTGGCACATTGACAATATAACGCGTTCTGACAGGAGTAGCGAGGTTCATCTCTTTTAGAATAATATTAGTGTATTCCACCACCGGCCCTCTTGGGTGCGTCTCCGTGACATTGTTAGATAACAATGTAAGCGCCTTTATAACTTCATGCATGTAAGCACGTTCGGTGGAGAAAGGGACTAAGCAGGGGCCGCTTTGGTAATAAAGTTGTTCCCTTCTGAGGTTTTCCTGGTCTGCGTAAAGTTCAGTCATTGTCAGTAGTAACTATTAAACAATAAAATGTTCAATAGAGGAATTTACAATATATATATATATATTAAATTAACTTGGGAGTACACAGTTAGTTTATAAAAAGAACATACTCGTTTTTTTGAGTGGAAGGCTGTATAGCATTAAGAAAATGTATTTTCAAATAAAAAAACCTAAAAATTTCAAGATAAATGAATGTTATATATTACAACCAAGGTAATTTGTACAATAATGTTACACCTTTAGTTTTATTAAAAATGAGTAGTGTACTATGCAAGGAGAAGTTTTTAGAGTGTGCTCACTGGGTGAACTGGAAAATCACAGTATTAATATAAACAGTTATAAGATATGCCCTTTAGAATAGAAATAATTATTGTCAAATTTTAAAAAGCATATGACTTTATAATGCCTTCGGAAGTATCAATATAGTAGTACTAGTAGTTTTTTCGCAACATTTATTCCTTAAGAGTTGCTGCACTATATTGTTTTTTTAAATGAGTTGGCATATATTAATAGTTAAACTTAAATCTGATTACGAAATGAAGCTTAACTAGAGCATATATCTAAGTTTTTTTACTTGACCAGAACTGTCGGCGATGAGGATAGGTTTAGAATGACGTGTAATGCTTTCACGTAACGCCACATTTTAAATGAACATAGACTACAAAAATCGAGGATGGGACAAGCTGAAAATTCTTAAAAATTTATACATCTATATATGGGCTATAATCCATATAAAAGGCATTTTACACACTTAAATAAGAGCTATCATTTTAATTCATTAAAAAAAATGGTTACAGTACATCTTTAGGAGATTGGTAAGAGCTTATATAATAAGACCCACCAATATTAGAAATGAAGGCGCGCTTACTTTGCGTACAAGCATAAGATTCCTAGATTATCCTATGTATATATGTGTTCGTAAGAATGCGCCCGTTATCAGAGCACTGTTTTTAGCGCTGGCGCTTGCTATTTTAGTAAAAACTTTTTGTTGCTTCTTCTACCTGTATCGTATTAGAAAAACTCTATTTGAAATTTATAGCTATGCTGGAATCCTCAAATAACATATAAAAAGGGAAACGAAGATAGTTAAGGATTTAAAGGGGAGATTAAATCTAATGAGTTTCAGAATAAAACATGATTAATAGGTTAAACTTTTAGAGGAAAGAGTTTCAATGTTCTATATGGAACTAAAGAAATTTGATTAGTATGACGACTGTTAATTGTTAATATTATCATAATTTTAATGGTACAGGTTTAATTTTTCGTAATTCGGGCAAACATCTTTTATGTTGCGAATTTATGAAGCAAAAGCTACGTATACAGCTTCAACTGGTGAAAAAACTGTAATAGTCTGAATTTTGCTTCTCAAATTACTAAGCTTAGATTTGGTGCCAAGTCTGCTTTTAATTCGTACTCAGAGGCATTACTGGAGTCTGTATAAATCTTCGACCACTGTATCTTTTTCTCTTTTGGTTATCGAGTTATCAGTAATACCTTTTTTGTTTATAAAAAATACTATCATATTTACTTGACCCTTCTCAGTGTTTTTGTGCCGTATCTTGTCTAGTATTGAGACAACAGACTGACTGAGTGTTAGGTCATGTTCTGGGGATATATTGCAAGAACAACTCTAAGAGCTCGTTGTACAGACAGCTCTGGGCAAGCTGGAATTTGTTAAACACTTTTAAAGCTTTTTCTATCAATGAGCCTTGCAGAAAAATGCTCAGTACCAAATTTAATGTTTACTTGTTGCGAGCTCTCAACTCTCAAAACCTATAGGATTACCTAATATTCTTGACTGCCCTACGTCTTCTGTAGTCATTCCTATGTCGCCCGCTTAGAGGTTTGTACTACAAGTGGAAGATAGCTCTGGATTGAAGTATACGCTAGAATCAAGTTGTGACTTGAGTCTAAGTTTGTAATTTTGCTTTTTATCGTCAACTTATAAACAAAGGCCTCGTTTCATTCTTTATAGAGACCCGCTTTGATTGTAAACTAAAGAAAACCTCTTTTCACAAATATTTATAAATTTATACTATTGAAGGTTTCGAAAAGCTTAATTATAGAGTGTGTGCTCATAGTAGTTGTGAAGCCTGCCAAAATTTTTTTGTTGTTCATCCACATACCCGGCATCTGTGATGGTTTGTGACAAAAGTTGTATATGTAATTTATCGACCGAAGATGAAGTTGTCACGTAGCTAAGTGGTTAGAGCATTTGTCCGCAATCTCAAAATGGCGGGTTTCATTCCCATCGGCGACCACTTGCATTTTTTTGGTACGTGTACAACTTCCTACAAACAAAAAAATTGATAGTTTGGATGGATGTTTCGGATCTATCGGTCACACAAGTTCAAATTTTTTTGTCAAAATAATCATAACTAAGGCTAAAAAAGTGTACAAAGAAGATGATTAGAGGAGAGTGTTAAGCCTATAAATACCACTTTAATTAAGGATGAGCACCGGGTTCTTCAATAGGGCTCAGCACCAGTTACCAGGCGGAAGCTCAATCTCCGCTTGAATGGTCTTATCGGCAAAATATGGACTTCTGTTGATCTAACAGAACTTGATAACTTCTAGAAATAATATACGTTATAAACAAATGAGAGTAATATATTATATTATATTACAAACAAATGTAATATAAGAGAAGCTGTAATAATTTATATGATTGCTCCTGATTGCTCCCGAGCCGTCCGAGTAGCAAAATGCTCATCACCATAAAGCGTCCCTAAGAAAAACAGTGACCAATTTTGATGATTATAGTAGGTAAATGAACGTGTTAAAATATCTATTAATATTCATATTCTGATTAAAACTATAAATTTTTATTTTAGTTCCATTAGTTTTGTGAAGTGTTGCACTAGAATGCAAGTTAATAACTGTTAGAGTCCCAACCACGCCAAGATCATTTATAAAGGTATCTTGACAACAATAAACGCGAGGATAAATGTGATTGTGTCACGTGTTGTACTAGTACGAAAAAATAATAATTTGGTATGTTTCTTGTTAATCCGGGGTGGTCCCATATTATTTGCAGTTTACTCCTGACAGGCAAATATTTTGGCCGGTTTTCCGGGGCTGAGGGTAGCAGCGTTATCGCCGAGCCAAAAGTTTTTGTACCATATATTTTTTTATAAAACGATAGATAAGTCTTTTTAAAAGCTTTGTGCTAACTTATAGCAAGCAAGTAAACTTTGGCTTCCTTATAGCTTAAATAAGTACAGATAATGGGAAGTGGTGGTGGCGGATTGAATATACTCCGGCACAAAAGTTGGCATGTTTACGATAAAAATAACATAGAAAGAGTTAAAAAAGATGAAGAGAATGCAAGAAAAGCCTCCGAGGAGAAACAAAGACGCTCTGATATTGCTGTAAGAAAAATAGTTTGCCAGATTATACACTTTTTACATCATATATTCCAAGGCTAGCTTCTTATTTAAACGATATATAGGATATAATATTGTAGTTATGCTTTATTAAAAGTTATTTCCTATTTTTAATCTTTAGAATCAGGAGAATAAGCTTCAACGCCTTCGTAATAAGAATAGTTCTATAACTTTGTCTCGTTCCAAAAAAAATATTAATTTATTTCCCGACGTGGAGAAGGCGGGCCTATTTTATATTCTTGTTTTCTAATGTATTAATATTAATGTTTTAAGTCCGAAAAAGAAGCTAAAGAAAAGTATGAAAAAATTAAGGCCGAGAATGCTAAGCAAATCGATTGGGAAAAGAAGATAGGGATTCTTAACTCTTTAGGCCAAAGCTCTTACGAAGCTAGCAGTTTTTTTATATATACAAGTATATTTTTTTCTTTAGTATTTTTCTTATAAGAAAGGAAGCCTTGGTACGAAAAAATTTGGAGCCGCGATGGTAAACCGAGCACTGTAGAATTAACGATAAAGTATAAGAGTTGTAAAGTCTTATAAACTTGTTTATTATTTTACAAAACTTTTTTTTTTATTTACTTTATAAATATTGTAATTATATATTACTTAAAACAATTTTAAAAATATTAGTGAACAAGAGAAGCTAAAAGATCTCAAGGTCAAAGATCACTACGATCCTCTTTCAGCTGTTAAAAGACGCCATTCTATGTACGTTATTCTAATTAGATTTGTTATAAAAGTAAAGTGAGTATGCTTCAACTCTTTTACGGTCCTAGTCCACATGTGGTAGTGTACCTTGACTTTGCCCGAGTAGGAAACATATCCCATCCCTACAGGGCATGTTACCTACAGCGGCGCATAAGAGTTGAAACATAATTAGCCTGTCTTTTTAGAGTTTACATATATATATATTCTTTTGATTTTTTTTTGTTTATAGTATTTTATTTTATTCAAGTTTATTACAATTTTTTCTAGTTTGGTGTCACTGTTAATGTATTCTATATATTATTTAAGTTGTGAGGCCTGTTTAGTAAATCTTTGAACCCTTTTTTTAAATAAATATTTTAAATAAATTATCTATATTTTGAAAGTTCATAATACATATATTTATATATTTATAAGCTTATTTCTTTTATAATTTTATTTAAAATGCCTTTATATAGTAAATTTTGTGTATGTAACTTATTTATTAACTTCTAAATTCTTCTATTTTAACTTTTTTCCAAACTATTTAATAAAATTTAACTACTTTAATTATAAACTTCTTTAATGTCTGTAATTATTTCTTCTTATATACATATTTTTTGAAGGATTCTTAAAATAAATTATTTCCTTATTTATACTTTATTTCTCTTTTGAAATTTAAATTATTTATTTTATAATTTTTTTAAAGTTATGCCTTTTACCTTTTATCCGGTCGTATAATAAACTTCTTATTTATCAATTTTATTTTGCTATGTTTTACAATAGTTTTTTTAATAAAATCAATTACCTTATCATAATTAAAAATAATTTTTTTTAAAAAACTTAAATTTATAAAACCTTTTATATTTTTCTAATAAATTTAATTTTAATTTTTAAATAACTTTTAAGTATTACGAGTTATTTTTAAAATAACTTTTGATTATAAAAAACTTTATATTTTTGGGTATTTTGTGCTACAATAATATTTAATTCGTTTTTATAGTTTTCTTTTTATATAATTCTTAATTTTTTCAATACTTTATCAGTTTATCAATTATATCAAAATTTTTAATTATTATAAATTTTTGTAGTATAATTCTTTTTTAACTTTTTTTGATTTTTCATATACAGTTATTATATTTAAATTAGATTTATTTTTTGTTTTGATTGTAATTTAATTTTTTTTTAAAATTCGTAATTTCTAGTTTTATTTTTTATAATACTTTCATATCTTATTATAATCATTTTTTATTTAAGTTTAAGTTTTCTTTGTGATACTCGCATATATTTAAATAACTGTATGATGTTTTTATATTTTCTTGGTTTCTTTTATTGTTAGAATTGTTTATATTATTTGTGTTTGTTAACTAAGAAAGGTCTGTTATATTTTTATTCCTTATAAAACTTATCAATATATTCATTATAAAAGTAAATTAATAATAATAATAATACAGTAAAAAAGTCGTTATAAGATTAATAATTTGTATATTAATAAAGAAACTATATTTTTCTATATATATTTTTTACTATTATATTTTGTAAATATTTTTTTTAATATTTTTAGAACTGCTGATATTCTTCCTTCCAAAAGTATTAATGAAATCAATTTTAAGAGAAAAAAATTAAAAAAGGACAAGAAAAAGTGAATATTATTAGAATTATCTTTTTTATTAACTTTTTATATTATTCTTTATAAATATTATATTACTTTTAATATTACTTTTGATATTAATAGAAAACCTGTAGAAACTGAGTTTTCTCATAATACTCAGGAAAAACAGGAAAAACTTCTTCAACTCCGGAAAGGTACTATCATAGTTACGGCTGGTTTTATTATAATAGTATGGATGTCTATTAAAAGTTGTAGATTTGTCATAATTAAGTAAAGCTCAAGAGGAAAAGTTTTATTTTTTTAATACATTTTAAAAAGTTTTAAGTAGTGTTAGTCTTTTATTTCTTTTTTGTTTATTAATTGAAAAAGTTTTACTTTATTTTACAAGATATACAAAGTTTTCACCTTTGTTAAAACATATTTTACCGAAAGAAAGAATGATGAGAGAAAATGCAGAACATATTCGATCAATGCAATTGTTAGGAGTTTATCATACTAATAAAGAAGAAGTTGAACTCGATGAAAGAAAAAGAAAGTTATTAATATTTTTTATTATCTACTCTTCTTACTATGATGACTATTTTATTATTATTAGATATAATAATCAGTTCCACCCTGAATTAGCCAGAAACAAGAGATAATAGAATTACATAGTAAATACACAAATATATTTTCTTTATCTTATTAAAGTTTAAAGTAAAAATTGAGTTTACTTCAACCACGTAATTCCATTACCTCTGTTTTTAGTAAAACTCACTTAAACCGCATAGTATGGAACTCTCGTCTCGAAGTTACATACATTCAGCAGAAGTTAATACCTTCTTGGTCAACACTTTTCTAGCCATTTCCTGCCTCTGGAATTTCTAACACCTTTTCTCATTAAACTTGCCATTCTACACACAAAAATTAGTCTTTTTTTTTCTAATAGCTTACTTAGAGGCCCTAATACTATCGATGATTTGAAATGTACAAACTCCAATAATACAAAGTTTGAAGTAAACTACACAACCCCTTGAGCACTTTTTAAATACAATAACTTCAAGCTTTATTATAAATATTTTGTACTAACTTTTCTTTTTGACCAATTTACCTCGACTTTTGAAATTTATATAGCCATGATCAACTTAATTCTACGCATTTTGCATTTTCAGTACAGAAACTTATTTGTACTTAAGGCCGGCTATGTTCTACTGTGTCTGTTAACATAGTCAGGGAGATACAATTCGCCATCTGGTGTTAAAAACCGTATACCCTCCATTGAAACTTTGGCCTATTCAGACCTCTCAAGTCGAAGTACAGTTTAATTATGAGTCTTGCTTGAATTCATAGTTTTCAATTTTTTAAGTACTTTGCTTCTCGTTGTAGCGCCTTTTAAGTAATTTCTTTTTCGGATTAAGGCACTACTGCCAAAGAATGATTCCACTTGTAGTTCCTTAATAATTCTTTTAATTTAACTCCTACTAACTTTTCATAGTAGCTTAATTGACCCTTTGCCTCGGCTTATCCTTAGTAATATAAGTGCGTCGGATGAATGAGATCCATCCTTTGCACTACCTCATAAAATGCTTTACGGTTTCTTAATATTTTGGGCTTCATCAGATTTCTGATTACCATGTTTTTTTTTATACCTTAAATATTGCATTTGTAACCTTACCTTTCGAGAATAGCACTACCAGATTAAAGCATATTATGCATATATGGACCGTGCATTTTAGATATATATTATGCAACCATAGTAAGTTTTGGACAATAGTCATAAAATTAACCTCACTTTCGAGTCATATTTTCTCGATTTAACTAAGTCGCTTAAGTTATAAATAATAAAGGAAAAGGGAACCACAACTCACCCTTTTGCTAAATTACTTCCCAACACGCCCCACAAATATTAATCCATGAGTACGTCCTTTAAGGTTTTAAACTCTTCTTGTGTGCGATATATTTATTAAACGTTTATTATTAATCAAATTGGCTCTTAAATGCTAAGCATGCGCAACTTAGCTGTGAAAAAAGACGTTACTAATCGTTAGATAGTTCATAAACTGATACGCACATTATTCGGTCCACTGGTTTAATAATAAAGCCTGGAACCTCAAAAGAAAATAATAGCGCCTACTTACAGTTAAGAAACGCTTCCGCAAAAGCATTACCTAAAGTAAAAAATGCAATTTTTAAAGGTTTTAGGGAAATTTTTTCATGGTAGGTACCATAAAGGTTAACTTTAGATCGGTAATTTGCCTTTAAAAGTAAAAATTAATGGAATTCTTAAACACACACGGCTTTGCAGAACATACCAATGGTTATTATTAGCTAATAATGTGTATGAATGAGCAATTAAGGTTATTAAGAAAGCTTCGTTAAAGTTTAGCAGAGAAGGAAATATAAGTTGGACTTCTTTCCCGAATAAATACATTATAATGTACCGAGCCAAAGCAGTTTACAAAGACGGAGTTTGGTCTTGCAGTCAAGTTCGAGCCTGGTCACAGGAAAAGGGTTTATAATTTTAGTCGAGCCTAGGGCTTCTTAACGGTGACAGATGAGAATGATAAATCAGATAAAGCAGTAAATAAAACCCCTCGAAATAGTTGGCATGACTACAAATTGTCAGCATTATAACGTAGAAAATGAATATATAAGTTTAAAAGACAGATGCAAGGTCTTTTCTGATAATATTGGAAGTAGCTAGATGTTAGAGGGTTTGGACTTAATGCTTTTCAATAAGTTTTCCTGAAGAGAAATCTAACAAGATAGTATTTACATGATTAACATATGGCCTGTGCAAGACAAGTTTATTACTCATAAATATTAAATTTTTATTAACTGTTATGACACTCATACTACAAAGATTGGTTTTTCAATAATCAAAAAAATTTAATCAAAGCTATGTATAAAGCTTGGTACTATATATATTACTGTATTATTGTTAAATAATAAGAATTTACTTATTTAACATAGTTTAATATAAAAAGTGTTTTATAAAGCTTATGATTTCGAGATGCAAATAAGTTTAAATGGAACCACTTGTGGAGATTTGGCCTCCCAAAGCGCTCACTCTGGCCTTTGTTACATTACTGTTCTAGTTTAAAACATAGTTCATATGATACTACTTTTTTTATATTTGTAGATTAATTAAAGCTATGTACTACTGTACATTAAGCTTCCTCTAGGTGGTAAAAATTTTTTTTACTCTTTTGCTTTTACCACCTTAAGTAATTTAGTTCTTTGCTCTAAAGCTTTTACTTAGTAGTCCAACAGAAATTAATAGATCACTGAGTTTATATTTTTTTAATGTAATGCTAGATTATCTTAGCTTAACTATAAAGTTTTTAAAGTATTTCAGTTCGGGACAATGTTAATTGTCAGCAACATGCTAGATAACGCACAAGCATAAGGTGAACAGAAAGCAAAGTTATGAGATAGTTTGTTTAATATAACTGTTTTACATAGTTATCATGTAGAGAGATTAAAAAAGTAACGCAGTTGTCACAAAAATTTCAAAGCAATATAAGGAATATAATTTTTAATTATTTATATAGTAGGATTTAAGCATACTATAAAAGCTTTTAAAAAAAATATGCAAAAAAGTTATTATATACAAAATTCTAAATTTTAATCTTATTATATTGTCCCTAACCTCTTCCCTGATGTCATAAGCTATTAAAAGCAAGTATTAATAATTTTATATTTGTGGAGAATTTTTTTTTTTATTGAAAACTTTTTTCATTCCTTTTCTTCACCTTTATACGACTTTATTCCACAGAGATTTTTTTATATAAGCTAGTAAAAGATTTTGTATATCCAAAATTAATTATGCTTGCATTTAATAGATCACAATTAACTGTAATTTTCCTTATTAGATACAGCTTTTAAAAAAATCCATGGTAAACAAGTTAAACAATGTCAAAAATATGTGAATAGATAATTATTATAATAAACAAACTGACAATTCATTAATAACTTTACAAAAGGTATGATCCCAAGAGTTCTGATAAACCAAGCTTAGTACCCTGGGTAAGTTATTTTTTTTAAGATATTAAGCTATTTAATTTAAATATTATTTATCGCCTGACTATAACCTTTATAATGTTTATGAAAGAGACAAAAGAAAAGCTTTATATTACACCATGAGTTTTCTCTGGTTTAGTTCTTACGCTACTAGATTTTATTGCCTAATAATTTTAAATGATTTTAAATTTGGTAAATAACAATCTGAAAATAAATAAGTTTAGGAAGACTAACCATCCGGATTTCCCTATTTTCTAGAAACATTTTTAGCTATTGTTTATAGAGTTATTGGCGTAGACACGTGGTAGAAAGTCTTGACCCATTGGTTAGAAAAATTGTTTACACCAACTTTTAAAAACTTAATTACGTTGATTTTATTAGAGTCTAAGAAAAAAAACACAATATAATTGACGTTTAATAGAATTTTTTAAAAAATATACATATAACTATTGCAAGTTTTACTATTATATTATTGTTAACTCTCTGCCTCTCTTGTAAAATTTAGGTGCATTCATATGGAGTCTATGAAGTTCAATTATCTTTTAACTTGCTTCAGTGTGTTCTTAATTAAAGAGGCTTTCCTTATAAACAATATAAATACCCGCACAGTCTCTGAAGAGATGAAGTACTGCACCAGCAATTACTCTTTCTATCTAGACATGCGAGAAAATGTTATTAATGATGCACCACACCTGCTTAACATGGCGCGCTCTGTCATGCGAAAAAAGATTTTTAAACGCACTGGACCTGAAGGTAATCCAGATTCACTATATCTAAACTACTATGGCCAAACAACTTTAGCTGGCCAGCGTGGCGCAAGGGTCCAATGGTCGGTTACGCTAACGGGTGCGCTTATAGTTCAGTTTCATAACATTGTGCGAGAGGAAAACCGGAAGAAACTGAATGCTCAGTACGATATTACTTACCACAACGGCTCCAAGTTTAGAAGTAAGTTTCTCCCAAGTGATCTGCGAGATATGATACATGAAGTCAACTTCGCTACTTTAGTTCAGCGCGAGCTAAAAACTTTTTGGAGTAAACACCGGGAGAATTGGCGTATCCTGGCAAAGGCAGAGTTTATTCGCGCATTAAGAACTGCAAGGGTGAAAGGAATATTAAGTAAGCTAGATTACGAAGAGTTGGCGAGTGGACTTGCAGCAAGTGTGCCTGTAAATAAACCAGTTACTTTGGAGCAACTAAAGAAGCAAGAGAGTGTTTCCGGACTACAAGTCCGTTATCTAGATATCAACGGCTACCTTTCTAGTGACATACTCCGTATTCTTCTTAGGAGTGGGAAAGTAATACTTTATATCCCTTTTATCGGCCAGCAAATTTTTTATCAATATACCAAAAATGACTTTCCCTATGAGGAACTGCAAGTTATCTACGCATTTAATAATGACCTAGAAATGAGAAAATGGCTTGTTGATCAAGCCAGAGATCAAACAATGCGATTTTTACTGGCGTGTCACTTTCGTCTCTATGATCGCTCGGACGGCAAATTCTACACAGGCGTGAGTAATAGCCTTAAAAAGTTGGCCGAGGGCGAGTGGAAATTGACAGGCGGTGGTATCAATTATTTAAATCGCTTGTTCCTTCCCAATTATTGGAGAAGTAAGTTGGATGAATCCATTGATATCTCCAACGCACCCCGTAAAACCTTTGATGTATTTGATACCATGGCCTCCTTAGCCGAACAACGCTCTTTGGAGGACGCGGTGACGGACTTTCCCTCGCTTTACAAAACATATAAAAATAACACATTATTCTATTTTACAACGCTAGATCGGGCTTTGAGCCCGTTGATGACACTCTATAACCTTATAGGAGCCGGCTATCGATTAGCAAACTTTACTTCGCTGCTTGGATTCACAACCCAAACAAGTCATCTTGCCTTTGAAGATGGAGAAGAGAAGTTACTAA